AAAAATCAATGTCCTCATATGAGTACAATGGGTCGATCTTACTGTATGACACAAATAGACACCATTGGTCAAAAAAAGCATACAACAGTTTATTTTAAAATGTTAACATTAAAGTGTATACATCAAGTGCAAACAGCTGTTTATTTAAAGGCCCTAAACATGGCTATCACACATAATAAAACTGCAAAGTACATGTAAGAACCGGTTTATTTTAAAGCCCCCTAAACATGGGCTAAACAAAACAAAAACAGTGCAAATAGATGCCGAAATATTACCAAATATATGTCTTATTTAGATGTCCTAAATTAATTTCTTTTTTGGTAACAGTCCACAAAACCTGTTTGCTCATGTGAAATGGTGCTTAACAGTAGAATTCATTTTAATGCCTGAACACATCTTCAAAGAAACAGAATAAATCAGAAAAGGTTTCCCTGAGCAGCCTTTGAACTGTAGCTTTGTTCTAACTAGCCTCCTCTATCTTTCCAGAAAGCAGTCTGTCTGCCTGTCTGGAACAGCCCTACTGGCCGCTGTGAAATGCTGCAAAGCAGTTGCGTTCACTTTGCAAGCAGAGGTGCACATTGCATGTCATGCATCGCACACGGGATTTCCCAGTGCAGCCTTGTGCTCTGCAACGCATTGGGTTTTGCAAGCCAACCATCTCCGGGAGATGAGCAGCACTGGAACGGACTGAGACGTGGGGGATTGGAGTGACCCGAGATTTTTTGCCTGGTGGTGGAATGTGTCCATTCTCATTCTCTGCTTCTGCGACACGAGCAGCTTTGTGAAGAACATCACACTTGCTGAGGAATACCTGAGCCACTACCATGCGAAACTCAAGAAACTTCATGATAGCTTTTCTTGGGGTACCATTTTCCTGATTATCTCTGCGATACAGCAGCCAGCTGTTGACAAGAGCAAGATCAGTGAAGTGCATCAGCATGCGAATGGTCCACTTCTTCGTCCGCACACTCATTCGGTAGTAGCTGATCATTCTATCTGACATGTCAACTCCTCCCATCTTTGAGTTGTACTCGCGCACGATGCTTGGTCGTGTGACGGTCAAGTATTTTTTGTCCTTCTTGGACCACCACTGGCAAGTGTCTTCTGGCTGTTCTGCATGAACAGTGGAGAGCATCACAACTGGCTTGTTGTCATACCACTTGACTACACATAGTTTCCCATCTGCCCTGGTTACTGTGGCGGAGGCACCTCTTCCTTGGTGTTTCAGGGTTTTGTCATCCGGGAGCTTCTTCATTGCTTGTGGGACCCGGTTCTTCATCACTGTACCAGTGAGATAGATCTCATTCTTCAGCATGTGATCAACAGCTAGTATGGTGGTAAAGTAGCGATCACAATACACCTTTGTGCCAGCAGTCAGGGTTTCAGACAGACGTTTGACGACCAGTGCTCCTAGACCCAATCCATCTGAGTCCTTAACCTGCAAACCCAGTGTCTTTGAACCTTGGTAGACTTCAAAGTCTAGCACAATTCCATCCACTGATGCCAGCACGAAGTTCTTCATTCCGACTGGATTTGGCTTTAGTGGCACATACTGTCGGAATGGACAGGCCCCTGTAAACGGGATCATCTGCTCGTCAATTGAGACGCATTCTGGATGGGCCTGAAGGCGGCAGCCGGTGAGTATGCGGTTCATAAAAGGCCTCACCTTCCAGAATTTGTCAATTTTCCGCTTCTCTTCTGGAACATCATCATCGATGACCACTTTCAGTATTCACTATTTCACTATCCGCAGCTTGAAGAACCGATCACGTGACATTGTGTCACTAATGGCAGGGATTCGTAGGGCATTGGACCAAAACATCCTCGTCTGTGGATAAGGCACGCAAGACATCAAGATTGCTGCTCCAAAGAAGTGATATATTTCATCAACCGAAGTGTTGAGAAATGTCCCACTGTTAGCCAGTGACATGGCATTTGTGCAGTCAGCAACGACTTTCATCAGCTCTGAGTCAATATACTGCTCCACATAATCCAGTGGCTGCCAACCTGTTCGCTCATCTTTCAGTTCATCCTCTTCAACCTGAAACTGGACTAAGTTTGCAGTAAATGGAGCAGACCTCCAGCGCTCTTCACGTCCAGCATTCCTAGGTTCTGTCCTGGGCTCTCCACGTCCTTGCTCATCCTCGTCCAGCTCTAATAATAAAAACATAATACATTTTATTTGTAATGCATTAAACATTTTGAAACCTATTGAAGTGCTACAGAGAAAAAAACATGAGACTTGGGTTCTGCAGTGTGTGTGTGTGGGGGGGGGATTTAGTGTGTGTACGTGCTTGCGTGTGTGTGCACCCACACGTGCGAGAGAGGGAGAGAGCAGGAGGAGGGGCTGACTGACAGAGACGAGAGATGGTGAAACGCTGTTAAAAAAAACACAATAATATTTTATGGGAAACACTGGTTCTGGCTCACCATCATTCTCAACATGTTGTTTACGGCCACGTTTGTGCACTTGTGGATATTGTGGCTGACTCTCATTCTCAGATTCGCTATCTTCAGCTGCATCAGGTGGTGAATATTCTTCATCTGAATCATCTGGTGAATTAGGTGGTGAATAATCATCTTCAGAATGATCAGGTTGCTCTATGAGGTCAACATCATGTGGAATGACTTCATCCACAGCAGGATCATGATCTTCCCCATCTGAGAAGTCTTCAACCTCAGAGTCGTCTACAATTGCCATGAGCAATTGTTCTGCTCTTGACAATGAAAGCTTCCCTGTAATGATAACATGACAAAGAGCCTGTGAATATTCTCATTCATCCAGGTCATAGTTATCTCAAGGAAATTTCCTTACCTTGAAATAACATGACAAAATAAACTCAAAATCAAAATCTATACCAGAGACAGATGGCTAACATATAATGTTGACTAGTTATCTAGCTAGCTTGCTAGTTATCTAGCTAGCTTGCTAGTTATGTACCTAACTTGATAGCTACTAAATTCTAAGGTTAAAATTAAAGGTTAAAAGTGTTTACACCTGTAACTAAACCACATGTACCACTTAAAATAACTATTTAGAACTGTAAACTCATCTAAATATTCCCAAGTTTAGCTAACCACATGGTACAATCAATAGCGTAACATAGTCCCAATGTCCTCAAACGAGTACTTGACATTTACTGACGTTCTAGCTTGCCACTATTACTAAAATTTGTCAAATTTTAATGCCATATGAAGCTAGAGACATTACTGTACATAAATACACTGGTTTCATTCATAAAATTTGGATATAATCTTTACCTTGCTCTTTTTTCCTTCGGGAGCTGCCGTAGAAGTCTTTCGCTGAAATTCCCGCCATTTTGTTTTCGCTGAAATGGGTGTAATGTTGTGATATCACCACAAGATGGTGCAGGCAGTGTCCCTAAATGTGGCTAATAGGTCAAAGTTTTAAAAAATGGAGTATCATGGTGCTAAGAGGCAAAAATGTAATGTCCTCGTATGAGGACGCAGGGTCTCACCACTGACCTTTTCAAAGCATACACAATCTGCCAGTTGTGGTTTTTTTAAACTGTTATCTAACATCCCTTCATTCCGAGGATGTATATAAACAACTCCTTCCATAACTTCCCAACTTAGCTAACTAATTTGTCTTACTAATAAATGAATGACATGGTGTGAGACAGAGAAGCTTAACCCCGATCTCTGGACAGTGACAGCCTATTCGGCCTACTCTATATACCAATGCGTGGATACTATACACTATAATAGCAATGTGAGGAAGCTTAGCTTAAGAACTTATTTTATTCAGTAATAATTTAATAAGAATATGATTCTGTTTCACACTCTACACTGTTAACCTGCCAATCCACAGTATAGATAGTTATAGAATAACTACATTTTATCAGAGGGTTATCCTGTAGACCTGTATTAATTTGGAGGTACTTGAAACCAGAAAGGTTGAGAACCATTGATCTAAATCACATTATTTGGATGTAAAACCGAAAAGTAAATGCATCAAAAATGTCAGTCATAATCTTTCACTGCACAGGAAAACTGTTTGCATCCACGATAACAGAAGTACAGAAGGCCAAACCTAGAGGCTGTGTGCTGGATGGTTACCATTCAATTGGAATTTGTTTTATTTTTGCCACGTATTATTACTAAAAAATGACTACCAAAACTGCAGTTACTGCATTATGTGCTCTCTGTCTCTCTCAGGCAAACTAAACCCACCTCTGTCAGACGTCAGCTTCGCTCCCACCTCACTCACTGTGTTGGCTGTAATAAAGACCTGTCACCACAGCAACACAGAGCTAATTCACACAGGGAGGAATTTGTACCAGTGACCCTAGTTCAGTGTGTTTGTGTGTGCACTTTCTTACTTGGGGGGGTAAGGAGTGTGTGTAGTTGTGTGTGTGGGGGTGGGGGGGGTTAACAGAGACAGTTAATTATGGAATGCAAATGATGTTGTCAGAACAGCCATTCAAAGTGTCTTCTTCTGCCTTCCTGCTTGCCCGTTCAGGCAGATTTAATAAGCAACCCTCTCACACACTCCTGAAGGAAACCCATCTACATGAAACGCAAAGTAATCTCCCAGCGATGAGTCCCGCTGTTCTAGCCACGACAACATAATTCATGCTAAGTAGAGTTGTCGTAGATGAGAGACGGAGACACAGCTTCTAACACTGCCACTCAAAAGCAACATGGGCCAGTGTGCTCTGACGATCACAGGGTTGATTCTACACCTTTTGATCTCTTAAAGCACCAGTTGTTTCTAGTGCAAAGTCATCTGACAGTAGACATCGTGGTAAAGCTCATCAGCACTTCACTGGCTTGGAAGAACTTATCCAGAACTTAACCGTAATGAGACCTTTTGAACAGATGTCACACAAGAATACAACACAGGCATCTGTGCATTAAAGAATTTGCATCCCTGTTTACAATGCAGAAAACCCTATACTGTTTAGATGGGAAATGAGAAAACAAAATCCATTAGTTTTTGACATATTTAAGGCAGGCTTTACATTTGTGTGCAGTGTGTGAGACAGGCAATGGAGCAGGTTGACGTATATGGACTTGACCAGCTTCTTAAGTGTCAGTCAACCAGGCTCACTAATGATGCACAATATGAGCATTTAGCAAATAAAAAGGAGGAGGGTAATATTGGACTGAAACACAACTCCACATGAATGATAATGCAGCTGTATGTTTGCTGGGTATGAGAGTAGGTAACCAACTTGCTTTGGTTGTTGTACTGCCAAAAAAAAAAATCAGTAAATGCCTTCTGAGGAATAGTTAAACATGTTGGGATATACGCTTATTTTTGCTTTCTTTCCCAGATTTAGGACAGTGGTATATCTTGTCATCTATCTGTCTGTTCAGTACAACAGTGGAGCTAGTAGTGTTTAGCTTAACTTAGCATAAAAACTAGAGATGTTTCAATACAATTAATTTTATCTTGTGATGAAGCAGGTCCTCTTCCATGGAGGCCGCCATATTTCTACAGTAGCACAGAACGGACAAACCAAACACTGGCTCTAGCTGGGGCCTTTTGTGATTTTAGTGAGTGCAGTTTGTCCTCTACGTTCAGAATGGGAGGGGAGGCAAGGAGGTTGAAATCTGAAATAACACCACTAGATGCCACTAAATCCTATGCCAAACCTAGCCTGCCACCAGATTATTTTGATAGCAGCTGGTGCTGAAATAGAACTCCATTAGATCCACACAAATCAGCACAAAAAAACTTAATGTTCTTGATCATGGATGCAGAATTGCTGGGGGGTGCATAGGCCTATACTCCTGAAACGCCAGATTACACAGGAGTAGGTTACATTAGGGTTAATGTTTGGTTATTATACAAGCTTAGTAGGCTACTCACTTAATGTGAAAACTGGCATCTCCCCTCAGTCCCAATTTTTCTGTGGTATAGATGTCACTTTAAGCCGCAGACAGTTCTCCGGGTTTTTATGCGTCAGCCGGTTTCTCTTGCGCATCTTTATCACATTCATTAATCAGTAGGTTAACTCATTTATAGGTGGAAAGGGAACATTGTGAACACATAAATTGTGAGTGTTTTGATTGTGCTCTACCACCCAAAAGGCACTCACAGACTCTGCACCTCTGAGTGCATCACTGACCAGGGAGGTTGTTTGGAAATCAATTATCTCCATCTCAAATGCAGCCTCGTCCAACAAGGGGATCATTTTTTTCGCCAGGGAGGAGAAGTCTCCTGGTGGGACAGTGAGAGGGTCACGCACAATAGCAATTATATCCTTTAGGACAGAGTAGTCCTCAAACCTACAAGTGAAGTTGGCTCATAGCTGCTTGATGAAGTCTACCATCAGCTCAGTCACTTGTCCGGGGCCTGTGTTTTTAGTGTACCCAAATGTAGCAGCCTGCCAGTTGATATGTCTGACTTTAACCTCTTGAATGATTCCAGTTTTTAAACCATGTCCGCTATAGTTTGGCCTCTCCCCTGTAACTGCAGATTAAGCTGCTTTAGGTGGCCAAATATATCCACTAAAAATGCGACATTAGTCATGAACTTTTCATCTTCCAGGAGGGCAAGGTGATCAGCTGCTGCTCTAATCTTGCTGAGGTCATTGTAAGTGGCCTCTTTTGACAACAAATGTTGCCCTGGGGATCAATGAAGTATTTCTGATTTCTGATTCTGACTCAGCCACAAGTTGTCGGAAAAGGCGATGCTGGGTGCTTGATCTTTCAATCTGCTTAACAGACCTCTGTGCTTTCCCACCATAGTAGGAGCCCCATCCGCCAAGATTAGGTTAACCTTCTCAAATGACAATGAATGCAGTCTAAACAACTCTTCCACTTTCGTAAATACTATGTCCCTAGTCATGTGCCCTTCTAATAGAATAAAAGAGAGCAGCTCTTCCCTGAACTCCTTTCCATCAAAATATTTAACATAGAACCACATCTGGGCTACATCTGTAGTAATTGGCCTGATTGAGACCACAGATCATAACTCCTTGTGCAGCATCCAACATCTGAGGCAATAATACCAGCCTTAAACTTTATCAGTTCCTTCAAAACATAACCTCTTTGAAAACCTCTGCGTCAGTGAATGGCCGGTTCCAAGACACTTTTAGGGACGCTCTTGTCACTCTCTGTTGATCTGCGAGTCCCTGCACTAGGATCCTGCTGCTGTGTGCATAGCTTGCGCTCAGTGCTTGAATATTGCACTTTCGTGCCTCTGTCTGAAGTGGAAAGGCCACTTTGAAGGTGCCATGCTTTGTCTCGTGGTGTCGTCTAATATTATATTCTTTGCAAACAGCGACAACTTCATTGCAGATAAGACACGCTGGCTTTGCATTCATGAAACCAGGCAGGATGAACACATGGGCATGAAAATAGGGCATAAGAAAAAGAATGGAAAGACAACTGTCAACTTTCCTCTTTAGACTCTTTATCGTGGCATTTCTCTTGCCAGCTATCTTATATGTTAGTAGCTAACTTCACTCTGCACAATAGTAATCTAATAGCATACCTCAAGCATGCAAACAATTTAAAAAATGCAACGTAGTACATGAGAATGCTAAGGAATAATTCTGAGAGTAAAGGTAGGCTATGTCAAATAATTATTACAGTAAGTTAGGCTCCAATGTGTAGTAACAAGCAAATTAAAATGATACACATTTATTATTCACAATATGGAAAGAGGAAATAAAACAGATAGGCCATAAATGGATTTATGGACATAAGTTTTATTTCTTGAGTTATTTTCATCTATTACACATCTCTCACACATGTGTGTTTTAGAAAGGTTACAGGTCACTACTACTGTATTAATTAATCCAGTGCCAAACCCAGACACCACCACACAACTATGACTGTCCTGCAGGATTTAACCACAGGGTAACCACATAGCTGACTAAGCAGTTACAAAAAGACACTGTAACAGTCTGTGACAGGCAATTCTAGTTGCATATTTAATTAATTAATTTCTTAAATGACCCCTTGATTATGTTTTGGCCCGCCATGTAATGGCTTAGAAAAAAATTGTCCCGATGCCAAACTTACTTGCTGACCCCTGTCCTACACCCTGGTCCTTTAATCCCCAGGTCTAGTGTCACAGATGCACAATAAATAGAGGCATCTATACATTTAATGTCCACAGTATTAAGTGGCCTCAGTGATGCTTATTCTGAATTAGCATTTCACATTTCATAATGCATGAATCTGTTTCACCAAGATATGTGGGGAAAGTGATCTAATGAGGGGCTGAATCCTTGCAGTTACAATATTGGCCACTAAAGCACAGAATGATGATAATGCTGTCGGACTGGGACTCAAATGCTAGTTTTACACAACCAGCTGATGTCTGCACATCTGCTTTTACATTAGGACACATCATTTTTCAGATGAAGACAGCACAGATCTCTCCCTCTCTTTTTTCTTCTTCTTGTAAATTCAGTCTGAAGTGAAATCAATGAAACGACACAAGCCCGGAGTCTCCAGAACATTCATCTTGCAGTGAGGCGGCTGGCCCTCAAGCTTCGGCATGCATAAGCTCCACTCTTCACCTCTTAAATCTCCACAGAGCTCTGGAGAGTTTACAACAAAATAGAGATAACGCTTTAAGACCGGGGGTTGTGGGCTTCCAACCCCCCACCATCAACCGCCCTCCCTGCGCGTTATCTTAATTGTACAAGACAGGCAGCCTCAAACTACAGAAGAATCAAAAGAGATCAACACGTTCAATTTAAACTGCGAGACCGTGCAGGCAAATAGGAATCTCTAATTACTTATGCTAATACAGCGATGACAGAGAGCCAGGGAAGCAGAGGAGGAGCGGAGCGAGGAGGATGGCGGGAAGGCTACATTTGGTGTATCACTCAGGGTGTGCTCTAATTAAAAACAGAATTAATCTTTTGGACGTACAGGCTCGAGAAGAGGCAGACCTCTTTCTCACAGTGTCTCCCCAGTGAGGAGCAGAAGCCACTGAGAGGTAATTACTGTTATCTGCTGGCTGTTTTATTAACATGTGTCCTCAAAGAATGGAGAAGTTTAACTTGGCCCCTGCTCTGACTGATGCCACGCTCGATAGACCAGCAAAGAAAATGATTACAAAATGGGAAAAAAGGTCCCCATTCCTCTTCTCTTGATCCTGAAAAGAAAATAGAGAGCGGTTTCTTTCTTTTTTTCTTTTTTCTTGCACTACTCCCACCCTTTAAATTCCCTCTGGGGAGTGATATTTTCTCAGATGTACGGGTAGAGTGAAAGCAGAGAGAGTTGGAGTGCGAGGAGACAGGGGAGGAGATAGGAGGGAGAAGATAGAAAAGAGAAACAGACGGGAAGAGAGAAGGAGGTGCGGAGTGGAGAGGAGAGATAGATCAACAAAAAGACTTTGCCGCCTTAGCGCCCGTGAGCAGAATGAGAGGAGAAGCCCAGAGAAAGCCCACATGCCAGCAGCCGGTAATTACACGCCAATCATCTGCCCACAGGCCAGTGCAGGGATTAACTAAGCGGAGAAATGGTGGGAGAAATTCAATTAAAAAACGAATTAATAAGCAGGCCGTTTTTCCTCTGGCCGCAGGGACCAGCCAAGGGGCGGGATCAGGCGAGGTGTGCTGGTCAGTTATTGGGAGGGTGTAGGTGGCGGGGACGTGATTGCTGGTGTTACAAGAATAAATGACAGAATAAGGCATGCATGCTTTTAAAACACAAAGGATAAAGAAGCAGATACTACATGTGTGCTTCCAGTAGACTTAATTTTAGACAGCATTTACTCAAAACACTAAACCCCGAAACAGATTAAATTACGTGAAATGTGTCAAAAGTAAAGCACTACAACTAATGAAATGATCATTGATATCAGAAGGATCTCTATCCCCTTAAACTATGAACAACATAACCATCAAACATATACAGTAGTCCTAGTACCTGGACAATATTATTCATAACAAACCTACATAGAATGCTAACACCAATGCTAGGTTTGCAAAGACCATGTTGAACCGTCATGTTTCTATAGTAGCCCAGAATGGACAAACCAAGCACTGGCTGTAGATAGGGACTTTTGCATATTTTGCGAGTTTCACAGCCGCAATACCTACACACATCACAACCCATTCTCAACGGCGAGCTGTGTTCAGTTAGTTGCAATCAGAAACTTGTGCAAAACACACAAATCTATCTAGAACAATGCATCATGGTTTGAATTGTGATATGTTTTGTTAAACTAATCTGTAATGTATGTAGTCTAATCTGTCAAATAAATGTATTGAAAATAGAACACTATTTGCATCTGAAGTATACCTATAAAGTTGCATTAAATAGAAATGCTCAAAGAAGTAGTGCCTGGAGTGCCTGAACATTTTACAGAAATTCAAAAATGAAATAAGTGCACTTTATCTCTGAAGCTGCACACTAAAGGAAGCTGTGGCAAATGTTAAACTTGGTGAAGTCCCCATTATCTGACCAATAACAGATGCTGTGGTCTTCGGGGCTTGTATGGCTTGCAGGTAGGGTTGCCACCTGTCCTGTATAATAATGGATCGTACTGTATTGAAAAAATAAATTGTCCCTTACTAAATCGATATGAGACACGTTTTTCCTGCATTTTTAACACACAGTCTGTACTGTAATGTATACACTTTGTTTTCCCATGCTTGGAACGGCATGGGAAATAATGAAATCAATAGTTTCATGAGACCTATGGGAGAAACATTAAATCAGAATTTCTGGAAGAAAATTATATCTATACTGATAGTCAAGTTGGTTGTCACTCAAAGTCATGATTGCCCTGGTTATAGAGACTCAGACCTCCACCTTAAGTCCACCCGTAAAAAGAACTACGCTGTCAAACCAAATACAGATCTAAATGGCAGATGGACCACAATCACCATGGATCAGTCCTGTCGGTGGGAATGAGTACAAGGCAAGGCAGTATTATCAGTCACCCATGATTACCTGTCTGCCCTGAAACCAGGGGTGGATCTGACTGCCACCCCAGTTTGGTGTCAAATTCTGTCAAATGCAACACATTAATTAAAATTAATTTGAAAGATAATGTATTAAAAAAGGGAATAAACACATAATTTTATGATCTTTCACATTTTAGACTAAGTCATAGACCGAAGTTCAATGCAAAAAAGGCATGTATTTGTAAAAATGTGTGAAGAGTTATAAATATAACAATTTATTGGTAAAAACACATGAATTTCACATGTGCAGAAACACGTGATTGTTGGTGGTTAAATCAGCATGTATTTCTGCCACCAGCTCCAGCTCCACCTCTGCCTGTAGCAACATTCAGCATGGGACTACCACAACCGAGCAGGACAAGGCCAGAGGTTATTTTGTTACCTTGACAGCGTCAAATGGTCTGATGTTTTAATCCTTAATATAGGTCTAATTGATGCAACTCTGCTTTACACTTTTTTTCCTTTGGAGGACTTAGGACTCTGGCAAGGGGTCCCGTATTCTTCCACACTGAAGGTGTCAAAAGAAGACTGAACTTCTCTGTGATGAAAGCAATGCCATGACTTTAGACAGATTGGTTAAAATTCTTCAAGACAGTCTGGATTCTGGCTGTCCTCCATGTTGTGACTAACAGACCCATTATGGTAAGCGTCATCTCAGCGACAGGTCAACAGACTGGCCCCGGAAAAGCATTATTAACCAGGTAATTGGCGGGTAATTAGACCATTGTTTGTTGGCACTTCACTAGTGTGCATTATTGCCTGCCCACTAACATGATTTATGAGTCCATAATTCATATTCTGCAACTCTAATTACATCCTTTCAGACCCCATTACTGGTGTTCTGTTAATGGTGATGCCTCTGTGATGCATATGGGGAAATTCTCAGGGAACACATTTCTGAAAACAAAAGGCAAAATCTGTAAAAGCATGACCTCCACCTCTCCTTCGTGAATAGAAATTGAACTCCAAAAACACACAGATGATTAAAAACTGATGTAGTGACATGCATCAAATCTGTTTCTGTGGTCCTCTCTCAGTACAGATAGTGTTAATTCATTTTCATTAGGCTTTAGTGGTAACATATCAGAACAAATCTCAACATGGAGCCAAAGGCCAGCAGTTAGAGACCTGCTGTTAATATTCTGTTCAATTGCTAATGTATGCACTCGGTGACACGGAATTAGTTGAACCTCAGAATATATAATTTTTATAAGCAGCCCACAGCTTATCTTGGAGGAAACTGTAATCAGCTCAGCCCTCCCATTTGTAAAAGAGTGGAAAATTACAAGTTTCAGGAATTTACATCTGCAGTTTAGAGGGCACAATTAAAGCTAGGTTTGTATTTTCTCCTCCTCTCTCTTTGCTGGGCATACAACAGATTGGTGTATTTTCCACAGCCATTCTTCTGCTTATAATAGGATATTGTAGTGGTGTCTCTTTGTACTGTTGGACGTTTCTCTCTCCTCAAGTTACCTCCAAGAATCTCTGTATTTCTGTGTAGTGCGTCAACAAAGACACACTCTTAGATGTCACTGTAGATTTAGAAGCACAGTACTGTAAAAAACTACAGTAAAATACTATATTTCTTCATTCAAGTAAAATACCATAGTTTATATTGCATTGTGGGTAATTTTTATCAAGTGGGAATGTTTTGCAGTATATTTAAGGATAGTAATATTACAATAGTAGTAACTGAAGTTTATATGTAATATAATTAATAATAGTAATTGTAATTATTATTAATATTATAATTAGCAGTATTATATAAATATTAATATAACTGGATATTTTGCAGTACAATATAATAAAATACAGCAGAATTACAAAATACTGTACAAATACAGTAAAATTGTAGCAATATGTATATAGTACAGTTACAGTAGTTCATTGTAAATCAAAATACAGGAACTTGCCGGAAACCGTGCTGCCAGTAACTTACTGTAAATATACAAGGAAATTCCTTACAGTGCAACTAGCTCAGTAACTCAGTTAAAAAGTAAGGCTATAATAATATAAAATAAATTATTTAAGATCACCTCCGCAACTCAGCGTGCTTGACAAGTCAGCCGGCATGTTGCCATGGATGGAGATTCCAATGTGAGCCATCTTACTTGGGTCGAACTCAGAGACAAGACTTTAAAATTGATTCATGGGAGAATCATGTTTATTTGGAAAGCTAAAAGGTACCAGGTTTGAGCATAATTTTCCTGTAAGAAACCACACACATACATAAAAATACAAAGCTAACATTTAATTATTATTATTATTATTATTATTATTATTATTAATAATAATAATATTAAATTCAATATTAAGTAAAACATATATCATATCATAGGATTATATTATGTTTTAGAGCAATTATGATGGGATTATTAAATTTGTGTGCTGAAGAAATACTATTGCATTGAAAAACCCTTGGATGATATTTCATGCGATCAGCTTATATCTTATCAGATATCAATATCTTATATTTATACTTAAGCTATTTTAATTAAATTGTTATTTGTGGTTTTCTATTGATATTTTTATATTATATATATATATATATAGTAATCTGTCTGTCTAGCCTTTTTTGGTGGCATCTCTTAAGTTTTTGGCCATGCGCACACCACCTGCCCTTATAAAGTAATTAGGGGGTGTTACCTATGCTAATAACAAACAATCAACCATACACCTCCAATTTAAGACCAAGTGGGATTCAGCAGATTTTGATTGTTAAGAACGTTTGGTGCATTGTAGGTGACTACAAAATTAAGAGAAAATATGAAAGGAATTTAAGAGAATGTTGCTGAATGAGGCCCAGTGTATGATCAGTGACTCATTGTTTCAGGACTATACATTTCTGACCTGGTGGGCATAGTTTTAACCTTACCCCATTTTTTGCCATCATGACGATTGAGTATCCTCGATATTCTGGCACTTATTTCCCTGAAGAGCTTAACATAACTTCTTTGCTAGTGGTGCAGCACTCCAACACACTTACAAACTAAAGCACATTCAGAACAGTTGAACCTTAACAATAAATGTGTTCTTTAAACAAGATCAACTGATATTTTTGCAAAACTCATATAACAGTGGTAAAATACTGAAAATGAGGATCAATTTAAAATAATGATCCTTCAATATGTGGAATATACAGTGAAGCTTTAATATCAGCAGTGTCATTTGTTGTATGGTTTTCATATAATTAGCAAATGAAAGGCTAATATTATATCATCTCAGAAGAGGAGGCAGCATTAGCAGTTGGTACAGTGCTGCTGAAAGTATTATTTGACACTAACCACATAGGTTTAATATAACTCACCGTGGGTGTAGGATTGCACTGATGCACTATATTCCTCTTCCCAAGCTTAGAGGAGACAGGCCTCAGTGTGGCACTCCTGTAATAAGTACATTGGAGTTTCTTAATATAACCCAAGATTGGATTGCTATATTCTGCTTCAGCCCTGAGTGAGAGAAGTTTATGTTTGTCAGGAAAGTGCCAGCGAGACCCGGTGTCCACCCACCAGTCACAACTCTACCTGCTTCGACTAGGGAGGGCGACTCAAGTTTGAAGCTTGCACTCGGATCACACTTAAGTTGCATACAAATTGGCTTCGGACTTGATGTCTGCTTAAAGGAGATAGGGTTTGCCAGGCATAACCTCTGTGTTACCTAAGCACAGGGTTCAGACTCTGTGCAGCACTGCTTTATCTAGAGGCATTAACCCATAGAACTGTGCTGGGACTGAAGGCTGCGGCAAGTTTTTACATTTTCTGGGTTAAATATAGGTTTTCTTTTTCCAGTTTCCCATAATCTAATTCCTATATGTGGATGATCACCTCGGTGTATGGATTATTTTATACTTGTGCTGAAAAATTAATGCACAGCAATTTCACATATAATCCACAGTCTTGTGCTATAGCAAGAGCATCATAACCATAACCAGGGAGTGGGCCAGGCCAGTCTATTCACAGTGTGAGGTGACAGGAACATGCAGATCTGCACAATGCACAACACTTGGACTGACAAGATTTCACTGCCTCTTACTGTATACTCAGTAATGAACTGGTAAACAATATGTCAGTGTTAAAATGAGAAAAACAAAAGTTGTTTTTTTTTGTCTTATTTAACACTTATCTTATTGGGGTTTATGTTTAGCTAAAAACAAGGTGCATGTCTGTTAAAGGACCTCCACTGTGCTTTAAGACTTATATTAAGCTCTCAAGTTTTCGTCTTTTGGGACAAAATCTATGTAAGGGCTCCTCAACAACAGTGGTCCCTAAACTGGGGGTCATGACTCTTAGAAAAGGTCACAAGATAAGTCTGAGGGTTACAGGATGATGTCATGAGAGGAAAGAGAAAAAAATTAACTACTGGATAATTTCACTTCATTGGGACTCTAGAAGGTATTGTTAGAAAGAAGTGAAAATGACTCCGGCTTGAACTGATCACAACCAGTGGAATCTACTGGAGATAAGCAGTCGCAAGCAGATGTAGTTTTGTTTAAAGGGGTCACCAGTCTAAGAGTTTTAAAAGTCAGTCGGGTTTTAAAAGGTAATAACTAGGATTTAATTTTAAAATTCAATCAAGAAAGGTTGCAAAACATAGTGTATACATATGGCTTGACACATGCTTGACCCACTTAGGTTTGTAAAATAAATGAAGCTACCAGATGCTAGCACATCAGACAGGCATTTTCCAAACACCCCTGCCAGCTTTGACAGTGAGGGTCGATGCGGCCCAATACAGGCGAGCCAAGAATGAGACAGCTAACTGTAGCACAGGCCAAGAAGACCACTCAAATCTGTCTGAGAGCTCCTCTGCAGAAACGCCTCCTCTTTGCTCCCCAAGGACTCGACTGTCTGGGCAAATGAACAGTGCTGTGAGCGCTGTCCTCTCGCCAAACTACTCTCAGAGAAGCCTGAGCAGCAAAGACATAGGGGCTCCTCTGAGGATGGAGCAAACTCTTCATTAGCTTGTATTTGCATGGATAACTCTCTTCATGTCCTGATGAGACCAGTCAACTGCCAGGTAAGTCATTTTTCACTATTACTGTAAAACACACAGGAAGTAATGGAACAGATAAATGCAAGAGAGGGAAACATTGTTTATGGGCTTAGTGGAAACAAATTAGAGCAGATAGATGGTGTTTATTCCAGAAATTAATGCTGATTAAACCTCTGGTAGTGATGCTGTCTGCAATGTAAATGTTTTTACCTCCCAAAAAACTTGTACCTGCTGAAAAGAAGCTGTGACTTACCCTTACCTTACATTAAAGAAGCTCATAGGGTTCCAACAGCCACTGGGCCAGAGCCTAGATGGCCCCCATAAAGAAATAAAGAAAGAGAGAACAGATTCTGCACTTAAATATAGTTTTGCACTTTGTTTATTCCCCAGTCACAACCTTAATTCCTCCTGTGTCTACAAGAGTAAAAGTATTACAAATTGCATCCGCATTATACTTGTCCTTGCACTCAGTTTTTCTTTGTTATACTTGTTTACTTCACACATTTGCTATGCCTTATAGAGAATTGCTTCTATTGTTATTCACAAGCTGCACAAGTTTAACTTCAATGCAACTGAAGGTTCTTTGTTTTTAATGCAGCAGGATGCATTAGGACAGCTTCCTCATGGAACCCAAACTGTTCACTCAAATTATACATTTTTTAAATTTGTCACAGAAGTAGCCTAATTGTGAAAGTATGAACTCACCTGTTGACAGGCAATCTTCTCAACAATGCCAGCGTAAGCATACTAACATGCTCAAAAAGACAATGCTACCTGGCGTACCTATTTTTAAGCAGGTCTGATGTTTAACATGTTTACATCTTAGTTTAACGTGATAGCATGCTAACATAGGCTGCTGAGGCTAACAGGAATGTCATTAGTTGTGTAGTATTTTGTCATAAACCAAAATGTTGGGCAATTTTAAATGTTTATACGATGATGGTGCTCGATGATGAGTCTGGGTATTACCAAAGTAACAAAGTTAGTTGCAATACATCCTATAGTGGTTGAGCCCTATCACTGAATAAGTAAAATACTTTGACCACCTGGTGGCACTAGAGGAAAAGCCAGGGATTACAGTCAGTAGGGTTCATAATTCTAGGAACCATGAAATCTGTACAAAATTTCATGGTAATCTATCCATTAGTTCAGGCCGGAACAAAGATGGACGACAGGCAGACAGACATTTCTCTGGCCTGTCTGGGAACCTGTGATAGTAGAACAGTAATACAAACTTATTAAGTAACGTATGTAGGCTACTGAAAGAGGTTTTTTTGTACACCGTCATGAGTTTTTTTTTACTTTAAAAGTTGCAGTAGATAAGATAAGATAAGATAAGATAAGACAAGATAAGACAAGATAGGACAATTTATCCTAAGGGAGATTGCTGTGCAGTAGTTACAGTACAAAGTAGGAAACAGTGCAAATATCTTTAGAGCAAATACAAACAATTATATAAAAAAATACAGATTATTAGTAAGGTGCAAACCAAATGAACATGAACACAAATCTTAGAAATGTAAAAAAGGTTAAGTGTTGGCCAAAAATAACAAGGGAACAGTAATGGTCGCAAAAAGTATTAATGGTGAGGTACAGATTTAAAAATATATACTATGCCAAAAGTATACACAGTTTTAGTTTAGTTGTAGTTCATGTTTAGCAACTAATTAGCAAATGTTAGTGTGCTAACATGCTTCAATGTTTTAAGCATTTGGCTCAAAGCACCACTTTGCCAAAGTGAAGTCTCATAAAGCTGCATGGCTCTAGACTCTTGTCTTGTTTTATACTGTTTCAAACCCATTGTTGGGTAAAATTTGTTAAATTGATGCATATTGGTTGACTGATTTAAAAAGCTTACTAGACTTGACTCAGTCTCAGCAGGCCCTGTTGTTTTTGTAGACTTAAACAATATAATAAGTTTATTTAAGTTTTGTTTGAATATTTCAGTAGAAAATGTGGTCTATGGCTTAGTCTAGAATTATGAACTTACTGAAGTGAAAATTGAGAGTTTAACAGTTAAATTAATGTTACTTTCACCCTCTGTCAGACAGTTCTGGAGGATAGACGAATCAACGCCTCAAAGAGCAGAAGTAAAGAAGCAGCAAGTGGAGAAA